AAAAAAAAAAAAAAAAAAAAAAAAAAAAAAAAAAAAAAACCCCAAAGCTGCATTGCAAGCAGCTAACCATTCAAGCTAACTATCTTGGCCTCTTGCATTTTCCCCCTTCTCAAATACTGCTTGGAACTGGCTGATAACAAATATACACGAACATGCCTAGTGGCCTTGTTGCCATGCTTCAGTGCCAAATTGAAACCATGCCACCCCCTAACAAACCTTGACCTGCAGTGTAATTGCTCCATTTTTCATGGTTTCCTATTTTATCTTGGCCATTTCAAATTGCATTGACCTGCCACCCACTATCCCAGACAAGTTACCAGCCAGGAGTCCAGCTTTTAAATGAAACAGGGTTTTAACTCCAAAATGGCATGAGGAATTTAACTGCTTCAAGATGTATCGTGTATTGCTAACCAAAGCCTGGAGTGCTACCTAATATATGACATCCCCATGGTAATGTCAGCAAATGCTACTGCAGTGCAGAAATAGCTGAAGCTGCCTACAGTAAAGGGAATGAGAGGGAAGATTATAGCTGTGCTGGTGAACTTCATCTCTGGAGGTTTTCAAATAAATCTGCAATTAGAGCTAAATTTTCACTGAATCATGTCTAGATTTCCAGAGGATTTTGTAGACTGAACAATATAACCCGTGATACAATGGAAAAGGTATTGGATAATTAAGATGTATTTTCAGTGGACTACTAGTCTTTTAAAGCAGTGGTGAGTAAGCCTCAGTAGAGCTAGTTTTATACCATCATCTAGAAACATAAATTTTCTCACAGTGCTTTTGAAAGTCTCTCTTTATGCTTAGACCCAGGTTAAAATATAGTCATTATAGGTGACTTCCAGGGTCACTTATAAAAAATTATTAAAAAAAAAGTGGGGAGACTTGCAGGCCCCCCACTTTTTTGTGGTAACCCATGGCAGAAGGCAAGGTTTTGGGGGAGAAGCACCTGTTTCTTCCAGATTGAAGGCTGCCTGGCCTAGCAGGGACTCGCTCTGCTGCAAAGAGGGGCCTCGTGTTTGCTTGCTATCAGGTTCTGCAGTGCCATTTCTTGATGTATGGTATTAATAAGGCAGGTGTTTTACCCAGTCCAACTGGTGTTTTTCTCCCTGGAAAGGTGTAATCCCAGGGGGTGGGAGAAGGATGTTCATGTAGTAAATCTTTTATTATTTAAATAGGAAACATTTTTTATGGGGGCTATGAGCAGTGTTTAAAAGCTACAGAGCTAGACACTCCAGGGATCAGCTGTAAACGAAGGTTAAGCCTTGTGAAGGCTCCTACCTTGACTTTTTTATTGGGATTGCTATTGTGACTAAGGCCTTGATGTTTTATTACCCTGGCCATATGGTTATGTGGTTTTGGAGAAGGGGCTTTGGCGAAGGGCAAGGGAAGAGGGAGGGGGAAGGGAGGTTGTTGTTATTCCTGTCGTGGAACAAGTCGATTCAACTTTCCCATTCTCCTGTGTCCTAACTTACAGCATATGGACATCAATTCCACATTCTTTATGGGGAAATCGCATGGGCATTGTTAAGTCATTTAATCTAAACTTTGAACGAGAAAAATAATAAGGTGATTAAGGACAACCCAAAGCTACTTGATAATGTGATGCTGATGGGATGGAGTCGCCTTTCGCTGCTGAGCTCGGACGGACACTAGTTGCTGAGTGCGGGGAAGAGGTAGGTGCTGGATTTTTCTGACTTTTTTTCAGCCGGCAGCTGCTTATGTTCTTTCCATTAGAAGAGAGGCAGACGCACGGCGAGAGAGCCTCAATGCCTTCTGCAGAGAGCTCTATTAGTTCTGAGCTGAAATTGAACCTTGCTAATTTTAAAGCACTGCAATATAGCATTTTATTTCCTCCAGCTGTGGGTCTTGACTTTGAGCTAGAAAGGGAGGGCCGAAAGACAGAGCAAAAGGAGGACTGGAAAAAATAAAACTGCAGGATGCCTGTCAATACCTGCTCTTGAGTTAGGAGACTCTGAACAGGACTGGAATTGAAAGAAATCATTAAAGTACTGCCTCCCACTGGAAATAAGTACGATCCTCATTCTCCTCTAACTGTTCAGGAGGTACAGTTCAAATACACAGAGTCAAACTCCAGAATTCATTTTCCACTTGAAATCCTTCTTAGGATGTTAAAGATGCTGGGAGCCCATAGAGTATCCTAACGGAGCGTGTGTGATAAGGCCTGTTAGTTCTTTTCATCAAAGAGGCATCCAAGAGAAGGCTTTTCAAAGAGAAAAAGGGGAATTGGGCACTTAGCTCCTACTGAGTGCCTAATTTCCCTCCTTAGAGAGGAAAAATAACCTTAGAGGAATAACCAATGAACTCTGAAGAACCCATTTCCAGATGTGGATTTATGAATTTATGATGCTGCGAATTCTCAACAGTGAAAAAGTGCTGAATTTATAGCTCATGTTTGGATTCTTTCAAAGGGGCTCACTAACTAGAGTTTTGTTGGAGGTTTCCCTAATAACTAATAAAAAAGCTAAGAAGATTAGAAACATGAAGGAATGATCAGCAGATGCCCTCAGGTTTGCAGGAATTTGCACTGGTGACATTTATGAAATGTTGGAGAAGTTGAGTATCCCGAAGTATCAGCCTACACTTTGCAAGATGCCTGAGTGATGTCGGTCTGCAGAGAAAATGAGACGCGGCGGTTTCCTTGAACCTTTAATGAGATGTGGCACATGCTGCACCAAATATTTGGCACAAGTATTTGCAGCCAGGCACAGTCTTGGGACCTGCTTGGTGTGCTTTATCTCTCTGTTCTTTGACCATCTATAGTAAATTAATGTAGTTTAACACATTGTGCTCAAATTACAGCATTATTCATAACGTTATTTCTTGCGATGGTGTAGCTGAGTTGCTGGGCGCTGCACTCTGGCAATGGAAGTTTCCCTGGTGAGGCCACATCTGGAGACTGCGTCCAGTTCTGGGCTCCCCAGGACAAGAGGGATGTGGAGCTGCTGGAGAGAGTCCAGCGCAGGGCTACCAGGATGATCAGGGGCCTGGAACATCTGCCCTATGAGCAAAGGCTGAGGGAGCTGGGCCTGTTCAGCCTGGAGAAGAGGAGGCTGAGGGGGGACCTGATCAGCGTGTATAAATACCTCAAGGGAGGCAGTGAGGAGGAGGGGGGCGGCCTCTTTTCAGTGGTGGTCAGCGATAGGACTAGAGGAAACGGCCACAAGCTGAGGCACCAAAAGTTCCACAGGAACTTGAGAAAACACTTCTTGACAGTGAGGGTGACAGAGCTCTGGAACAGGCTGCCCAGAGAGGTTGTGGAGTCTCCTTCTTTGGAGATCTTTAAAACCCGCTTGGATGCAGCCCTGTGCCCCGTGCTCTGGGTGACCCTGCGTGAGCAGGGGGGTTGGACTAGATGACTTCTGAGGTCCCTTCCAACCTTAAGCATTCTGTGATTCTAAGTTTAGGTAGTGCAAGGGGTGCTTCACAGTTGGAAGGGGACTGAGCACGAGTGGTAAAATTGCAAAATTGCCCTGAGAGTGGAAGTGCTATAGCATTGCCCGAGCTCCTTCTTTGCAAGTGCACAGGAACTGCAGAGCAACAAGAAATGGCAAACATTACTGGGTGGGAATAACTCTGGTAGTGCCAGGAAGGTGCCCTGCTGTCCCTCACCAAAAATAGCAGGGAGGGAAAATTGCTTTGCCTCCCTGGAGCCAGAAGTTTGGCGTTTCTGTGAGACCTGCAGTTTTGTTCCAGGCAGTCTATGATATTGCAGTGCCAAACCACTAACAACTAATTACATTCCTGCTAGCTAAGCCTGGCTCTGGCAATCCAGTGCTTTAATGGCCAATATTTAGATACTAACTTAGGTAAAACTATTTGTAATGTATGATTGCCAGACTCATTTCCAGTCTTGTTAGGAATTTTTTTGTGGGGCTTTTTTTTGTGCCCTTTTTTTTTTTTTTCTTTTTTAGAGGAAGGGTCGGGAAAAGGTGAGTTTAGGCTAATATCCAGCAATGTGTATGAATGCATATGTACTTTCGAACATGTGAAATGCATCATTGCTTTTGAAAGGACAAGCATAAGTTTTTGCATTTAATTTACCCCTTTATTCACAGTTGTTTTGTGCCTTGAGTGTTGTGAAGTGCTTGATCATTAGGCCTAGGATCTCCTATCCTGGTGAGATGCTAAATCCAAAGCAGGCTCGCTCTTCCTGAGGACGACCAGGGTGTCTGCATACTTTTATGTCCCTGTCTGGAAGCATGACTGCAGAGGCCAAAGATGCATCACAGACCTGCTAGGACATGGCCACTGAGTCTGCCTGTTCAATGTATCCTCTGGGCAGAGGAAGAAATACAAAGCTTTATCTGCTTGTTTCATCAAGTGCCCTGGAGCTGCTACTGCATTGGTGCAGCTGGTGGTGACCACGCTTGGGATGTTTACAAAGCCCAGAGTTAGGTTTCATAGAGGTTGACTGCACTGGTTGTCAAAGGATAGTGCAGGCCTTGCTGTTGCTAGTTCCTCTGGAGACCTCCAGCAATGAGGATGCAGTCTGAGGAAGTGAAAGAAGATCGTCTTTCACCTCCAAAAGACTCCTTCCCACTGAGATCTTCAGCACCTTGTCCTAGCAGCCTGACTGCTCTTTGGAGCAGGATGTTGTTCGGAAGCGGAAGGACCTGGGCAGAGTTGCTCTCTTTATTCATGCTTCCTCTGTGGTACTTTTTACTGGAGGATTTTCAAAAATATAGATATAGTCTGGGCTCCCAGGTTCTGATCCAGGGTAATAGGTGTTTTAGTGGCTTCCAGGAACTTTAGTGCAGATATCTGTGTTGTAAACTTCCTGTGTCAGGCATATATCCATTGCTGAGTCAAGCCTACCTGTAGTGCAACACAGAGCACACTGGCATCAGTGCATGTAAAATTAGATTAGACACTTTGGAGTGAATTTCAAGGACAGCAGCTAAACCTTCTGGCTGGTCTAGATCTTTGGCCCTAGAACTCAATAACCAAAACAGTTTAGTTCCTTGTATGTCATGAAAATACATCAGGAGAAACATAATTGGGGTTACAATGGAAAAAGATCACGTTCACTCCTGTGCACCTTTTTTAAAATCTTCATCTCTTCCTGCATTGCATAAACAATTTTAGGCAGAAAACCCCCATTACTTTGATTAGTAATCCCACTTTAACATCCCTGATGCAATATATCCTTTGGGAAGGAAACAATTGATGAGAATAAATGAAGGCTTTGCTTTTGGATCTTGGAAATGGCACTGGAACAGATATTCTAAAATACAGTCCAGCTGCTTAGCAAGCTCCTAAGAGGCTCCTTATAGAAAAGATTTGACAAGTGATTGGACACTTTCTTAGACAACTAATTTCCCCCAGCTTTCATTTTATACTATTAACCTGCAGGAAACAAACACAGTACGTTAGCTAGACACCAGCTGGATGACAAGCAGCAGACTGACAAGACACAAATCATAAGCAATATGATTTCTTAAGAGGCTTTGTAAAGGGCAAGAAATACTTTTTGTTCTGTTCCTCTGAATGCATTTGTGCAAGAGCTGTCTGGGTTATGCCAGCAAGCTGAGGCTGCCCTTCCAAATCAGTGAGCTTCTGCGTTTTAATGGCTTCGAGTAAATGAGCTATTCCAGTTACCAACAGGGAAACAGTTGCCAATCATCACAGAGAAGAAAGCAGACCTACTGCGGGGCATGAAATTAAATTTTCCAGGTAGTAGCAAGTAATTGATGCCACAATATGACCTTTGCCTAAAGCAGCCAACTCAGAGCTGTATGGAACAGCAATTGGGGTTGCCCAAAACCTGTGGCCACCAGCAAGTTTGCTCAGGAAAGAGATGACTCTGACAGGACTTTCCACTTCCTCTGGCAGGTAACTCAGTGGCTTTGCAACCTCCATGAGGTAAGGCTCAACTCTGATGCAGTGATACGGTGACCCAATAATATTTTTACACAGGTTTATTTTTAATAGCTCTTTTTTTTACAACATAGCATGATAAAACTGCAGCAAATTTGCATACAAATAACCCTTGTTCTTGTTACTGACGTATTGTTTGTAGGCAGTGACAATTCCCAGAGCCGATAGTGCAAAAATTACTCAAGAGCTTGTCTGGGTAATCCTCCTTGTGTCCTGCTGCAGAAAGCATGCACAGCTCCTTCCAGAAGGACCCTGGACATCTCTCTTGAATTGCCACCCTCTCATCTTCCGTCAGTAACATCAAGAGGCGCTGTGTCCCCAGCGTGGCTGGCTCCAGAAGCAGGCTGTAAAATTGCAGCCGCGCCAAAGGGAGCCTCTCCAACATGACTGCCCTTCACGCCTTGCAAGATCCAGCAGCTGCTTAAAAATGAGTCCTCAGACTTCTGAAGGTCCGTCTATGTATTTTCTCCAGCACATTCTCTGTAAGTTTAGTGGGACAACTTGTATGTCTGAAATTAGGTGGGAAACCAAACCATTCACTGAACAATCTGGAACAAACCTGGTGTTGCTGGGGCTTCATCACCAAGTGCAGCTTATAGTACTGAATATCAAGCCCGTTGCTGATGTTTTTACAGCTCAGCTGTAGGAACAGTAACACATTTTCTCAGGCCACTAGTGTTTTAAGCTGTGTGCTGAATGCAAATCTAATACAGCCAAGAAATGCTAAAAATGCTATCAGCTGGGAGAAATTAGATACATATCATTTAGAAATGCTCCTCCAGTTGTTTCTCAGATTATTTCTTGTTACAAATATGCATCCATAATCAGACATGAAATTGTAGCTATTTGGTTAGAAATGCCTCCTGAGTTTGGGCTTATTAGAATACAAGACCAACTGCAGAAGCAGGAAGAGATTAACAAAAATAAAATAACCCCGCACACATACACAATTAGATTTAGCTCTCTCAGCCATGTAATTTTATGATTGCAGAAAACTGGAAAGTCACAGCTCCTCTATTCAATTTAGATTGCAATCAGATTCTAATTCAGATTTCAATTAATACTTTGGAAAAATTACCACAATAGTGAAGAGGAAAAATGAACTGCAGGGACTCTCCATACAGAATGAAATGAAAGTTACAGTTTAAACATATAAGACTGATTAGAAACCCCGTGTTGTTCGTTAAGGCCACTGCGTACTAGGGAAGGACAACAAAGTCGGAGCTGTTCTTCCCCATTTTGCTTGGGTGGCTACAAGGATAACTCACCACACTGGTTTCCAGCTTGAAAGGATGAGGTTATCCACAGATTTACTGAGGATCCTCCTGGACTGTCACCCACTGCTCAGCCAGTTCTTCAGCTCACCTTTGTGCTGAAACCTGTGCAGTTAAATAGCTCAGCTTTCGCATTGCCTGTGCTCTCTGGCTCATTCGGGAGGTTTCACCACACTGCAGGAACCACACCATGCTAGTGATGGAAAAGCAGAAAGTACGTGCAAAGAAATAAGCATTTTCATCTCATTTAACAGTGTAAAGGTCAAAATAATTTTTATGTGATGTGATCTAATAGTTGGATATGCTACTGCAATCCTTCTGTGGATAGAAAGGGAATTAGTTTTGAAGAAGCTTTGAAGAAATTTTTGAAGAAATTGTAATTTGGAACATGCACTGGATACTGCATAAAGCTGAGACATAAAGCATCAGATGTCTCTTAACTGACACTTTAATATTGGTAGTTGGTCCTGAAGCCTCCCAAAATTTGACATCACACTCGGAGATTATTGTATTGATGTTGGGTGCAAAGCAGGTAGAGCCACTCAGGGGCAAAGCGATAGCTGCTGTCCCATGAGGGTGGGACCCCCAGAGTGGGTGTCTCCAGCAGGCCGAGCTGCTGGGTGCAGGTGTGGGGGCACCCTGGCCAGCAGACACCTGCACGGCCTGCAGCACGGCCGGGGCGGCTTGATGAGAGGCCAGCTGGGGCCAGGGGCCTGAGCCAATGATGCCTGCAACACATTAGGGCTTATTAGCCCGAGATTAATTCCAGACTGGGAGGGCTGGAGTGCGGCAGCCCCAGGGGTGAGAGCTGGTGCTCTCCATCGGCTCAGCTCTACTGTGCCCCGTTGTGCAGGGCAGCCATACCCCCTGCCCGATAGATGTCCTGGTGGATGTCCAGTGGCTGGAGAGCCGGGAGAATGGTCAGTGGGACCCTGCCCCATGGATGTCCTGGTGGATGCCCAATGTCCTGAGAGCCAGGAGAACAGTCGGTGGGACCCAGCGCATGGCAGAGAGGTCACTGTGGCCAGAGAAAGGGGGGCGAGCTTAGAGCACGAAGGAGATGGGCACAAAGCCCAGCTAACGAGTCTTTCCCTTCTCTTTCACTGTTTTCTACATTTTCTTCTTTGCCAGTTTCTCGCTCTCCTTGACTTTGTAGAGCCAGGAGGTTCCAGCACTAATCCCCAGGAGAGGTCAGAACAGAGAGGCAATCTCCTGAATTTACCCATCCTGAACAAGATAACTGCCTGACGAAAAGAAATTTAGCAAACATGTTATTTTTGTCCTAACGAAGCGCGCTCTCCGTGCAGCAGAGGCTGCCTGTCCTCCATGGTAATCCTGACCTTTCCTGATGGGCAGTGGCTGGGAGATTGGCAGCTAGCCTGGGGCACGAGCGCTCGCAGCAGAGATCCAGGCAAACCAACACAGTAAGAACGAGCAGGCAATCAACGAGACAGCCATCAAAATTAACATTAAGGGTGTCTTGTAGAGAATGTAATTAATTTTATGATAACATCTCTGAACTAATACTTGAGTGTCATTAAGAGGCTACATCGCTCTCAGAGCTTTGGGCTTAAACAGTTGTCTAGCTGTGTGCGGGTTATTGTTCCACCCGAATCAAAAATTGGGGGAAATAATGGGGAGAAAGAGCCAGAGCTGTTTATAGGCAACAATACAGGCTGTGCCACAACGCACTGAGTGTATTTGTGTAGCCAACAGAAGCTTCATGGTAATTTTTTGAGACCTTCCTCTCTAATCTTATGTCTTAGAGCTGTATTTAAAAAAATTCTGTAAAAGGAAGGTTAATATTTTAAAAGTGCTATAAATAGGCTTAATTTACCGAGCAATTATGGTTGAAGTTGTATTCCATGTGAAATGCTATTAGTGCCTGTTTGCCTGTTTACATTATTCCTTGTAGATTTAAATATGCATAAACATGTGCACTTTTATATGCACGAGCACTTTGTACTGTTACAGGCCAATTTTGCTCAAAAGCAACAACTTTTTAATCTCAAGAAATGTTCTGATCCATAACTATAGATCTGCATTGGAAGAATTTTAACTGTGGGAAATCCAGCTGCAGTTCTGAAGTGCACAGCTGTCACAGTATTCCTTACAAGGCACATCAAAATTCCAGGTTTTAAATGTGCTTTCCATACAATTCCCCTCCAAAAATATGCTTGCATCAGGGTCAGAAATTCCTGACTTTATGGCTTTAGTTTAATTCTTTTTGGTTGTCTCTCATTCAGATATAGACCAAAGTAAAAAGAAAGCATAGGAGATTTTCTGCTTGTCAAGGTGGCAGGAACCTCACAAGATCAATGATTTTCCAGGTGTTTTTATTTTGGGATGCAATCTGACAATAGATTCAGGATTTTTGCCAGTACTAAACTCTAATCTCAGTCCAGCCTCAGATCTGAAGTCTAAGCTGCACATTGCGCAAAGTCTCAGCCAAATGTTGCCTAATGTTGAAGAGGAACAGAAATGTTTTCCAGTCTGATTTAGAACATTATTATGGCATTACTCCATCCCATCCCACAGCCTTTTGTTGTGATACTGATTAATGCACCAATCTTTGTCTCTGCAACCATCTCAGCCCTTGCAAAATGTCAACCAGCTTTCCTTTTCCCATCACAGTGATGGTACAGGTGATTGCTTTTTTATCTTCCTCGTGACTGGAAGCAGCAATCTTTTATTAATGGTGTTTTTGTGTCATGCTGGTCTTCTTAATAATCTCTACCTGACAATGGGCAGAAGTAGCACACAAGGCATGTTTGAGAAAGGGAACATATATAGGGCATAGCCTTGAATTCTTGCACTGTTTTGGTGACTCTTTGGAGAACTGAAGTCTGCAGGGCACCATCTGCGCAATTTCTATTGTTCATCTTCTGAGAATCTTTAAAACCTCCTTTTTGCAAAGAGCCACGATGCTGGCTTAATTCCAAGTTTAGGGGGAAAGGAAAAAAAAGCAAAAACCAGAGCAAATTTCTGGCAGCACCCAAACTGACAGGAAATTCAAACGTCTTCCAGCGTAGAAGCCAAGGAAGCTGCTGAAACCAAACCCGTTTGCAAGGGGGGGTTGTTTTGATGTGTGCGAGATGAGCCTGAGGCGGGAGGTGACTATGTCCAACGGAATGAAGGAGCAGGAGCCGGCGCGGGAAGGGCGAGGATGAGCAGAGCACCAAAACACGCTCTTCCAAGCAGCGTTGGGTGGGTGTTCCCGTGCCCGGCACGGCACAGCCGGCCGCCTCTGTGCTCCCGCACGGAACAGTTTGCCCCGGCGCAATGCCAGCCCCAGCACAGTAGCTGGGACTTGCAGGGCAGGAAATGGGCATTTCCTCTTGCCCTTTGGGCAGACCGTGCCCAAGCGATAAGGCTGGCACAAATTCTCCTCCTCCTCTCTAACGTGTGCCAGCTACTCACAGAGTCTAACACTGTAATTTTATTTCTTTTGCACATTTCGTCTGCTTGACACATGATGTGCCATCTCCTCAAATTTTAATCATCAGTATGAAATTCCCTCTGGCTTCCTCTGAGTTCTTTTCCAAAAGGTCCTGTTTTTTGGGAGTTTTTTTTTGTTTTGTTTTCAATTTAGCTGCATATCTATTCCTCTTGATCTCATTTACATTCATGCACATACACACAGACACATCCATTTTACAACCACGATTAGCATCTGCTTAAGGTGAACTCTGGCAGCCAGACAAAACCCAGCCCATTTTGATCTGCCAGGCTTAAATGAGTACAATCTATAGAGCTAAAAGCAGCAGCAGCAAGATAACACAACGCATTGGGAACAAAACCTTTTGCATGTTGGGAAAGTTAAGATTATTCAGGCCCAAGAAACTTGCAAAATGGAAATGTACAGAAATCCAATTTGCTTTCCCAGGGGAAAAACCAAGCAGCTGATTTCCCCAGTAGTCAGCTATTCAGCCCGTTATTTGGCTCAGATATATAACATTTCACTTCCTATAGCCATTGTGTCCTTGATACTGCATTTACATGCTCTGCTCGCCGCTCTGAGTGAGCTGCTCTTCACAGCTCAAACAAATAGCTGTGAGAAAGAAAGAAATCCCCTTTCATTCCAGAAAGATTTCGATCTTGGCTATCACCAGGCAATTTCTTTCCTCGCTCATGCAGCAGCTACATAGCTCCTTTCGGCCTGAAATAGAATGTCATCTGAAGAACTATTGGAGCTCAATTAATAAGCTCAGCTAGTGACTCAGTGTAAAGCAAGGCAGGATTTGCACAAGCCGGCTCCCCACACAGTGCTTCCTGCCTAAGAACTGGCACGGGTGTCCTCCTCCCCCGAGCTCCCCACATGCTGTTGGCACGAAGCAAACCATTCTGGACCGATGGGCCATTCCTGCTGCTCAGCACCTAGTAGAGCTCAGCTGCTGTGAGAGGGGCTGCACCCCGAAATGTGGCTCACGTGGCCCACGCTGCCCCTTCGCTCCTGGGGACTTCGCAAAAATGCTTGAATTCTGTAGCAAGGTGCTTGCTTGGGGCCTTGCAGCTGAAGGGGATGAAGCTGCCGTTCATTTTAAGAGGCAGTTGAGCTCTCAGGAATGAACGAGTTCCACAGAATTTAGCGTTGTAAAATATTACCAGCAAAACTGTGCAAAATGATGCCTTGGTGCCCCTGCATATTCCACATATAGGCATCACTGAAATGCTGTCACTTCAGTCATAAGATTAGTCTCTGGAAAGTCATCACTGCAAATCACTGCACAAACAGATCCTGGAGGACTAGGCAAAATTAACATCTAATTTCCGTGCTCTGCAAATGCACAAATCAGTTCCTGGTGTCATAGGGAACAACCACTATTCCTGAGTGGGCTGAGAGCAACGAGCTTGCTCTTTTGCAGCTGGGAAAGAAATATGACCCTTGATCATTATTTTCTTCCTATAGCCAAATGCTGTTCTGATACATTCTGCTACTTGCCTTTGCAGGTGCTTTCCTTCAGCCTTGAGAGAGCTGGATTGCCCCTCTGGTGACAGCGAT